GCATCAGGTGTGTAGTTACAGAGGTGAGTGGTGAGAGGTGGGCTGACTGTACAGGCAGGAGTCTGCACAGGTGTCTAGGCTTTCCAGGTTCAGAGCCATCTGAATACATGGCCTGAATGTTCCAGTCCAGAGAGGAAGGACCAGCTTTAGAATTAAAAAAAACCCACTATTTTTATGCTCTTAAATCAAGGATAATTAATATGATTGACGCCCTTCTATGCTCACACTTGGCACAAAGTCATCAGTCCTATAGAAGTGATTATAGGAAGGCTCTGTGAAGTCAAATTTTTGATCCCTAGGAAATAAAAAGGGAGGATACTCGGATCCTTGGATGTAGAAGAGAGGCAGAAAAGTCAGTGCCTGAGTGATGTGATATGTGGGGTTTCACTCAGCCATTGCTGGATTTGAATGTAGATGGAGAGCCCAGGCACCCAGGCATGTGAGCACCCTCTAGAAGTAGGAAAATATAAGGAAAGGGACTAGTCCTCAGATCCTCTGAAGGATCACAGACCTGCAGTCACCTTCATTTTATCCCATAAGTCCAGTTTGCACTCTGACCTCCTGGACTGTAGGACCATCCATTGGTGTTCAGTTTAAACTCTGAAGTTTGCTGGAATTGTCTCCATCCGAAATAGGAGGGGAGGACACATTGTCACCCTGACCTTGATGTTTCAGGCTAGGTCTATCCTGACCCTAAGTCAACTCTGCTCTTAAGAAGCTGAGGATATATATTGAAAAGGCAACGTGGCCATTTTTTCCCTTCAAAGAATAACAGAACAAGATTGTTTTAAAAAAGAGGAGTAAATAAAGAACTTTTGTCCTTTGAAAATATGAATGAAGCCTGTACTCACCCAGGTAGTGTGGACTTGGTTCAAATTTAAAAAGATACATCAATGCAGCAGAACAATAAAACAGAAATCCAATAAAATGAGAAGTTACCTAAGTGGCATCAAAATCAATGTAGAATCAGGTTGACCAGGGCCTAGTGGCTGATCCAGAGATCTCTGTGGACCAGTCAGTGAATGGCTTGTTGATTGGCACCACAGGAGTCGTGTTACAGAGACCAAAGTGCCAAAGTGTCATGATAGGTCCTTCCACTCTCACCATTGCTACCTCCGATGCAGATTAATTAAATCCAAAGGACTTCAGATGCCCATGTGGCTGAATGTATGTGTTGTCATTTGAGTTTTGATCCCAACTCTGCCCCTGGGGTTGCAAGAGTTTATGACTATGCACAGCAGTGGTCCCCTGGTTGTGACAAGTCTTACAAAAGAGCTGAAGGAACTTGCAAAATAAGCCTGGTACTGGGGCCATCACATGCTGGGACCAGAGGGGAAGCTAGCCAATGTTCCAGATGGTTCTTTTCTTGTTCGGGATAGTTCCATTGACCGTTTTCTTCTAAGCATGAGCTTTCTTACCCATGGAAAAACCCTACCTACTAGAATGGAGCACTCCAATGGTAGGTTTAGCTTCTATCAACAACCAGATGTGGAAGGACACACGTCCATAGTTGATCTAATGCAGCATCCAGTCAGGGACTCTGAAAATGGAGCTTTTTGTTATTGAACACCTCAGTGCCTGGATCTGTAATCTACCCCTTCAGACTGACCAATCCAGTGTCGAGGTTCAGGCAGGTCCTTTTCTGTAGTACCTATGTCTCTGTTATACCTCTGTCTACAAGGATAGACCTAATTCAGAAACGACTTCGACAAACAAAATGAAGAACTATTTCTAGGAGAAGCACTACTGAAAGATTGAGATCCCTGCAGCTTGCACTTTGGGAATAAGAGAGACTGAAACACAATTTATCACATCCATTGCCATCAGAATCTTTTGCCACCATAACCATTCTAGACTTTTTTTAATGTAAAAGAGTCAACAGTTTGTTTAGGGGTGGGGAAGTATCTGCAAGGTGTCTAGGGTTTATTTTGGTTCTTTAAAAAGGGATGTGTTGAGGTTCTAGAAGTGGAAATTATCATTCATTTGTGTGCAGAAAAATCACAAGGTGACATTCTTCTTAATGGCCCCACCCCCAGTTCTTTGCCACTATCCACCGTGGTTTTTAATAAGTAAAAGCACATTTCATGTGTTTTCACCATAAGTAAATGGAATGAAACTTACAGAATGAAAATTTCTTTGTCTTTTAAAATGATCCATTTTCAAAAGTCAGTGTTGAATTGTCCTGTGGTAAATAATTTACATATATGCTGAAAATGACTTTTTAATATCATACTTAAAAATTTATTTAGAATTATGAATTGACATCATCTAAGTTGATGGGATGCAAACTGACATGCATGTTTTACAACACTCTTGTCTAAATTATTTTTGAAGTTGTGTTAATATTTTTGGTTATGAAAAGTTGTGTTTTTACATTGTCTTCCTTTTCATCTTGTGGTTTGTCTACTTTAATACATGGCCTTATATTAAAAATTATAAAGAAATATAAACCAGCATTTTAGCAATCGTGGCCTTTTCTGTTATTAAACCCGGGGACAAGTTGGCATAGCATAAAGACTTAGAGACTGGAATGATGACTACAGAAATGAGATCCGTTCCTGCAAGAGCATTGATAACAATTCCTGCACTGTTCCTTCAGTAAATGTTTTATCTGTGATTTCTTTAGTTCAGTCAATATTTTCTTGGATGAACTTGATAGTACACTTAGTTTTCATAAATGGACTGATTTCTCTGAAACTGTTAAAGTTATATAGAAGTTTGAGGTTGATTTGAGGAGAAAGAAAAGATTGTTTTAAAGTTGGATTAGCAAGGATGGTGGAATGTGATAGACATCATCATCCAAAGTATATATATGAAGACACAAATTGGTGTCCACATACTTTATATACAACCAGAGATTCAAAAAATTGTGCTATATACATGCAATAAAAATTGTAGTGCATTCCGATGTCATTTTTTAAATCAATAAAAAGTTGGATTTACATTTTTATTTTATGTAGTCACAATAAAATGTGCCACATTTGACAACTCCTTCTCCATACCTCCAATAAAATCAACGCTTAGTGACTTGAGTTGAAATAAAAATAAAGCTCTATCACACAGTAGAGGACAACAGTTCATAACAATTGATTCTATAATTTTAGATAACTAGAGGAGACAAACATGAAGTGTCCCAGTAAAAAGAAATCGTAAAGATTTCAGGAGATGATTACCTTAGTTTGGTCAGTCAACATTGTACACCTGCACTGAGATATCATAATATGCCAGTATAACGTATCAGTCAGAACACAAATGCCCACACCTCACTGTATGTAATTGCAAAAGAAAAAGCTCAGCTGTATTCATGCAAAATGACAACTATTGTTTAGATAGCACACAGGTGAATCAATATGTTGCATTATGAACAGTCCTTAGACTGAAATGAGCCCAATGAGTGAAAATGAGATGTAGTAAAGTATATAAAGCAGAGGTAACCACAGCTGGATKGAAGGGGTGAGGTTCTCWKGTTTCYAGTATGGYRCACACTGTGACTCAGGAGAGACGGGCATCAAACCTTTCACTGAGAAGCAYCATCTTGGTGAGGAYTYTCCCCAGGGCCATCTTGATGTCCCTGTTCCTCAGACTGTAGATGAAAGGGTTCAGCATGGGGGTGACCATGGTRTAKRKCACTGAGGCCATCAGAKTCATCGTAGAAGACTGTGTGKYTAYAGAACTGARGTAGACYCCAAGGCTAGTGCCATAGAACAAGGAGACCACCAGGAGGTGAGACCCACAGGTGGAGAA